TGGACTTGGGTCTAAGTAGGTTTACCAGATTTGGCTGATTGTCAATGAGAGTTGTCCTGTAATGGTCAAATCTTTCCATCATTGGCTGGTGGCTGGTGTTTATTTTTAACCCTGCTGTGGTTTTCCATTACCTTTACTGAAATGTATTCTGCAAGAGTCCAAAATGGTGTGAATACCCTTGTGAACAGGAATTCACCTTGTACCACCTTGCTTTATTGAGTAGTTGATCTGAGCGACTATGCAAGGAAAGGGAGAGGGCTCGTCCGGGATTTGAACCCGGGACCTCTCTCACCCAAAGCGAGAATCATACCCCTAGACCAACGAGCAGAAGATTGCAGACCTTTATAGAGTAGGTCACTAGTCCAAGGACAAGCTCAAAAAGAGCTCAGCCTAGCGCAGCTATCAAGCAGTCTTGAACCACTCGACATAGGTCTGGGAAGCGACGCCCTCCACAATTATCTTGGGTCTAAGTAGGTTTACCAGATTGGGCTGATTGTCAATGAGAGCTGTCCTATAATGGTCAAATCTTTCCATCATTGGCTGGTGGGCAAGTATTTATTTTTTACCCTGTTTTGGTTTTCGATTAGACCTTATTGAAATGTATTCTGTAAAGAGTTTAAAAGTAGGAATTGCCCTTTTGAACACAGTTTCACCACTACCTTGATTTACTGAGTAGTTGAACTGAGCAACTATGCAAGGTAAGGGAAAGGGCTCGTCCGGATTTGAACCCCGGGAGCTCTCGCACCCTAAGCGAGAATCATTCCCCTAGACCAGGGGTATTCAACTAAAATTCAAATAGGTCCAGTTAGAGGAAAATGTCCTCAAGCAAAGGTCCGGAACATCAGAAATGTCTAAGCTTGCATTATGATTCAGTGTGATATGTATTGAAGCCTAGTAGTTGTATCAACGTTCTGCATGTAATCAACAACTGACTGTCAGGATCAATATAGGAAGAACAATTCAAAAACATTTGACAATATTTATTGTCACTTTTATACAGATTAATATAACAGATAAGTGAAGATATGTATTATTTAAGGAGGTTCAACTGACTCAACTGAAACCAATCTTTTCAAGGGAAAAGAAGGGCTGCATTTAAAATCAAAATGGTGAAAATAAATATAATAATAATCTTAAAAATAAAGATAAAATATATACTTCATTATTGAAAAATAAAATAAAGTATAGCAGCAGCTTGAGTTTCCCCTTTTTCTCAACATATATAGATATCTCAACATATTTTAACAATTGAACATTTTTAGCTTCTCTTTCTTTCCCTCTTTTATCCACTCCCCCACATTCTGTTGTTCAGTGAGAGAACTGAGCTCTAGCTTTTCTGCCAGGAGTTTAAATCTAGGCTGGAATGGTGGTCAGGGCCATTCTCATGCACATGTGCAGGTGCTCATTGGTGAGCCTGGATCGATATTTACTTTTAATAATGTTCATTGCAGAGAAAGCTGCCTCCGCAGCTGTATGTGGAGCCAAACATGGTCAATGTGTACAGGGCTACTTTCCTCAGACCTGGGAAAGCTGTCTCAGAGACCATTTGGAGCCAGAAAGTGGCGGGGTCAGTTATTCCAAACTGCTCTTTCAGCGCCACATCTGCTTGGAGATCAATCAGTTGCATCTGGAGAGGCCCAGCATTTGCCCATTTGAAGTGCTGTGTGACTTCCTTTGAGAACCCACTGACATCTGTGATGAGAAATGGGTTCTGAATGAACAAGGTGAGCTGCTGTCCAAAGCGGAAGCTGTCAAAACGTTTGGAGAAGTTTAAAATCAGCTTATCAACAAAGTCACCAAAAGAAGACACATCTCTCTGTCCCTGAACCTGATCCTGCACTGCTGGGAAGTGTGCACAGTCTCCTGCAGGTCTTCCTTGAACACTTCAAGTTTCCTCTGAAAGGAGCGGACAGCTGTCATCAGTTCACAAATTGTATTGTCCTTACCCTGTAGCTTCAAATTAAGTTCATTAAGGTGTGAAGTGATATCAACAAAAAAGGCCACATTATCCATCCTTTTCTCATCCTTTAAAAAGAGAGAAAACTCTGTTTGCCTTCTGACTTCTCAGCTCTTCCCATGAAAGCTGCGACTTCCCTTCTGATGGACCAAAAGCGCTCTAACACCCTGCCTTTGCGTTAGCCATCTCACGTTGTTGTGCAGCAACAGATCATCAGCGTGTGCATCAACTTCTCTGAGGAATTCCCGGAGCATGCGATGCGTCGATAGGAAGAGGATGCCCTGAGAAAATTGAGCATCTGCAGCAGTGTGTTCATCACTTCAGCATGCTCTTCTGACAGGGTGGGGAGCACAGGACAGATTGATGTAGTATCAGTGGTAAGTGATGAGCGCAGGTTTGTCCCCTCTTTCATTCTTGCCACAGCTCCTTTCTCTCCTCCCTATCATGGCAGGGGCTCCATCTGTGGTTATTGAAACCACTTGTTTTGGCTCTATTCCTCGCTGTGTTAACTATCCCAAATGGCCAGGTAGTTGGCCTCTCCTCTGGTACGTTGTCTTAGGGGAGTTAGCACCTAACACATCTTCACAGAACTCTTTCTTTTCTTGGTTGAAGAACCTTACATAAACTAACAGCTGAGCATTGTCAGACACATCAGTGGACTCATCTACAGCTAAGCCTACACATGGTACCTTATGAATGGCTTCATCCAGCTGGGCCAGCACATCCTGGGTTAACATTTCACTTTTCTTTGTGGCTGATGATGCTGACATGGGTATTTGCTTTATTTTGTCACAAAGCTCTTCTTTCTGTTTCCCCTCAAGTAAAGTTTCAGCTACTGCACTCATGCACTCCTTGACAACCCCTCCATCAGTAAATGGCTTTTTGTGTTGACCCAAAATCCAAGTGACTCTGAGGGAACATTCATTAGCACGTTGTTGGGCAGTGAATGAATGGGTCAGGATCCGGGTGGATTGTTCATATTGGGCTCTGAGGCTGCTTATTTTCTGTGACCGCAGTTCAGACTTGAGTGGGTATGTTTGGTGGAAAACTTTGTGCTTTGTCTCATAGTGGCGTTTCACGTTGGCACTTTTTATGAGTGCCACTGTCTCTGAGCATATGAGACAGACTGGTTTTGTGTTTCCAGTGGGAAGAATGAACATGAAAGAGTCTGTCCATTCTGGGTTGAAAGCTCTGTTTTTGCTGTCCACTTTTCTCTTCTTAGAGAGCGCCATGTGTAGTTCTCCGGCTCACTCTGTCTCTTTTCTGTCTCGCTGTATTACTCACTCTTCTCCCGCTGTATTACTCTCTTCTCCCGCTGTCTTTCTCACTCTTCTCCCGCTGTATTACTCTCTTCTCCCGCTGTCTTTCTCACTCTTCTCCCGCTGTCTTTCTCACTCTTCTCCCGCTGTATTACTCACTCTTCTCCCGCTGTATTACTCTCTTCTCCCGCTGTATTACTCACTCTTCTCCCGCTGTATTACTCTCTTCTCCCGCTGTATTACTCACTCTTCTCCCGCTGTATTACTCTCTTCTCCCGCTTCTCCCGCTGTATTACTCACTCTTCTCCCGCTGTATTACTCTCTTCTCCCGCTTCTCCCGCTGTATTACTCACTCTTCTCCCGCTGTCTTTCTCGCTCTTCTCCCGCTGTATTACTCACTCTTCTCCCGCTGTATTACTCTCTTCTCCCGCTGTCTTATCTGCCTTCTCCCGCTGTCTTTCTCTCTCTTCTCCCGCTGTCTTTCTCCCGCTTCTCCCGCTGTATTACTCTCTTCTCCCGCTGTCTTATCTGCCTTCTCCCGCTGTCTTTCTCACTCTTCTCCCGCTGTATTACTCTCTTCTCCCGCTGTATTACTCACTCTTATCTGACTTCTTTCTCTGTCATCTCTCGCATGATCGCTCACTGTCTCACTGTCTGGCAGCCAGCGCCGGGAATGCACAGATTCGATTGGCTGAGTAGCATCACGTGGGATGGCTTAACACGAATGCAATTGGTCAGTGGATTTCCTGATTCGCTAAACCAGTACCGTAAAGTCTAGAAACGCTGCGCCGGTCAAAATAGAAGCGCCCCGTCAAAATGTAAAATACTTGAATAATTTATTGACTATAGGGTCCGGGTCCGTATAGGACGGCGTCTGGGTCCGCGACCGCGGACCGCGGTCCGCCTGTTAGTGACCCCCCGCCCGTAGACCAACGAGCCAGGAAGATGCAGATTTATTAGAGATGGTCAGCATGGTCCATGACAAGCTCAAGAAGACCTCAGCCTAGCACCTATAAAGGTAGTCTTGTAACACTGGACAGAGCTCTGGAGAGGCGACGCCCACAAAATTTTCTTGGACATGGGTCTAAGTAGGTTGGCCAGATTTGGCTGATTCTCAAAGAGCTAAGAGTTATAAAGTTAGGAATTGCCCTTTTGAACACAGTTTCACCTAGTACTACCTTGAATTATTGAGTAGGTTGAACGTGAGCGACGAGTGCAAGGGTGAGGGAAAGGGCTCGGCCCGGGATTTGAACCCGGGACCCTCTCCCACCCTAAGCGAGGAGTCATACCCCTAGACCAACGGAGCCACACAGGCAGAACTTCAAAGATGGTCACATGTCCACGACAACCTCAAAAGAGCTCAAGACGAGCACCTATACAGGCAGTCTCGAAGGCTCGACCGAGCTCTAGAGCCCATGCCCATACACTTCTGGTGGACTTGGGTCTAAGTAGGTTAACCAGATTTGGCTGATTGTCAATGAGAGTTGTCCTGTAATGGTCAAATCTTTCCATCATTGGCTGGTGGCTGGTGTTTATTTTTGACCTGCTGTGGTTTTCCATTACCTTTACTGAAATGTATTCTGCAAGAGTCCAAAATGGTGTGAAAGCCGTGTGAACAGGAATTCAGCGTGTACCACCTTGCTTTATTGAGTAGATGATCTGAGCGACCATGCAAGGAAAGGGAGAGGGCTCGTCCGGGATGTGAACCCGGGATCTCCAGCACCCAAAGCGAGGGGAATCATACCCCTTGACCAACGAGCCAGAAGTGCAGACTTTAGAGATGGTCACGTGTCCCAAGACAAGCTCAAAGAAGAGCTCAGCCTAGCAGGCTATATAAGGCAGTCTTGAGAGCACTCGACATAGGTCTGGAAGCGACGCCCTCACAATGTATCTTGGGTCTAAGTAGGTTTACCAGATTGGCTGATTGTCAATGAGAGCTGTCCTATAATGGTCAAATCTTTCCATCATTGGCTGGTGGCAGGTATTTATTTTTTACCCGTGTTTTGGTTTTCGATTACCTTATTGAAATGTATTCTGTAAAGAGTGTAAAAGAAGGGAATTGCCCTTTTGAACACAGTTTCACCAATACTACCTTGATTTATTGAGTAGTTTGAACTGAGGCGACTGATGCAAGGTAAGGAAAGGGTGCTCGTCCGGGATTTGAACCCGGGACCTCTCGCACCCTAAGCGAGAATCTACCCCTAGACCAGACGAGCCGGAAGATGTAGATTTTTAGAGGATGGTCACATGTCCCATGACAAGCTCAAGAAGACCTCAGCCTAGCAACCTATACAGGTAGTCGTTGGAACACTGGACAGAGCGCGGGAAGCGACGCCACAAAAATGTTCTTGGGACATGGTTCTAAGTAGGGTTATCAGATTTGGCTGATCCAAAAAGCTAAAGGTTCAAAGAGCTGTAGAATGCCCTTGTGACCACGGATTTACCGTAGTACTACCTTGGCTTTATTGAGTAGCTTGATCTGGAGCGACTATGCAAGGAAAGGGAGAGGGCTCTCCAATTATCTTGGGTCGAAGGAGATCTGGCGTGATTCTCAAGTGAGACATGTCCTATAATGGGACATGTCTTTCCATCATTGGCTGGTGGCAGGTGTTTATTTGTTGGACGCTGTTGTGAGTTTCCGATTTACCCTTACTGAAATGGTGATTCTGTAAAGAGTGTAATAGCAGGAAATAACCTTGGGAACACAGTTTCACACCTTGTACTAGTGTTTCTGTATGGAGCGGTTGTCCTGTATCCACATCTTTGGACGAGGGAGAGGGCTCGTCCAGGATTTGAACCTGGGACCTCTCACACCCGAAGCGAGAATCATACCTCTAGACCAACGAGCCACATGATGCAGAACTTCAAAGATGGTCCCATGTCCACGACAAGGCTCAAAAAGAGATCAGACGAGCACCTATACAGCAGGCTCGACCGAGCTCTAGAGCCCATGCCCATGACACTTATGTTGGACATGGGTCTAAGTAGGTTTACCAGATTTGGCTGATTGTCAATGAGAGCTGTCCTGTAATGGTCAAATCTTTCCATCATTGGCTGGTGGCTGGTGTTTATTTTGACCCCTGCTGTGGTTTTCCGATTACCTTTACTGAAATGTATTCTGCAAGAGTCCATAATGGTGTGAAAGCCCTGTGAACCGGAATTCACCTTGTACCACCTTGCTTTATTGAGTAGTTGATCTGAGCAACTCGGCAAGGAAAGGGAGAGGGCTCGTCCCGGATTTGAACCCGGACCTCCCGCACCCCAAAGCGAGAATCATACCCCTAGACCAACGAGCCAGAAGATGCAGACTTTTAGAGATGGTCACGTGTCCAAGACCAGAGCTCAAAAAAGGAAGCTCAGCCTAGCAGCTAGACAAGGCAGTCTTGAACACTCGACATAGGTCGTGAAGCAACACCCTCACAATTACTTGGGTCTAAGTAGGTTTACCAGATGTTGGGGCTGATTGTCAATGGAGAGCTGTCCTGTAATGGGTCAAATCTTTCCATCATTGGCTGGTGGGCTGGTGTGCATTTTTGACCCTGCTGTGGTTTTGCCATTACCTTTACTGAAATGTATTCTGCAAGAGTCCAAAAAGGGTGGAAAGCCCTTGTGAACAGGAATTGCACCTTGTACCACCTTGCGTTATTGAGTAGTAGATCTGAGCGACTTGCAAGGAAAGGTAGAGGGGTCGTCGGGGATTCGAACCCGGGACCTCTCGCACCCAAAGCGAGAATCATACCACTAGACCAACGAGCCAGAAGATGCAGTCTTGTAGCGATCGTCACATGTCCAAGACAAGCTCAAAAAGAGCTCAGCCTAGCAACCTATACAGGTAGTCTTGAAACTGGACAGAGCTCTGGAAAACGACGCCCACAAAATTTTCTTGGACATGGGTCTAAGTAGGTTTGCCAGATTTGGCTGATTCTCAAAAAGCTAAGAGTTATAAAAGTTGGAATTGCCCTTTTGAACAGTTTCACCTAGTACTACCTTGATTTATTGAGTAGTTGAACAGAGCGACTATGCAAGGTAAGGGAAAGGGCTCATCCGGGATTTGAACCCGGACCTCTCGCACCCTAAGCGAGAATCATACCCCTAGACCAACGAGCCCACACGATGCAGAATTTCAAAGATGGTCCCATGTCCACGACAACCTCAAAAAGAGCTCAGACGAGCACCTATACAGGCAGTCTCGAAGGCTCGACCGAGCTCTAGAGCCCATGCCCATACACTTCTGGTGGACTTGGGTCTAAGTAGGTTTACCAGATTTGGCTGATTGTCAATGAGAGTTGTCCCTGTAATGGTCAAATCTTTCCATCATTGGCTGGTGGCTGGTGTTTATTTTTGACCCTGCTGTGGTTTTCCATTACCTTTACTGAAATGTATTCTGCAAGAGTCCAAAATGGTGTGAAAGCACTTGTGAACAGGAATTCAGCTGTACCACCTTGCTTTATTGAGTAGTTGATCTGAGCGACTATGCAAGGAAAGGGAGAGGGCTCATCCGGGATTTGAACCCGGGACCTCTCGCACCCAAAGCGAGAATCATACCCCTAGACCAACGAGCCAGAAGATGCAGACTTTTAGAGATGGTCACGTGTCCAAGACAAGCTCAAAAAGAGCTCAGCCTAGCAGCTATATAAGGCAGTCTTGAACACTCGACATAGGTCTGGAAGCGACGCCCTCACAATTATCTTGGGTCTAAGTAGGTTTACCAGATTTGGCTGATTGTCAATGAGAGCTGTCCTATAATGGTCAAATCTTTCCATCATTGGCTGGTGGCAGGTATTTATTTTTTTACCCTGTTTTGGTTTTCGATTAACCTTATGAAATGTATTCTGTAAAGAGTTGTAAAAGAAGGAATTGCCCGTTTGAACACAGTTTCACCAATACTACCTTGATTTATTGAGTAGTTGAACTGAGAGACTATGCAAGGGTAAGGGAAAGGGCACGTCCGGGATTTGAACCCGGGACCTCTCGCACCCTAAGCGAGAATCATACCCCTAGACCAACGAGCCAGAAGATGCAGATTTTTAGAGATGGTCACATGTCCATGACAAGCTCAAGAAGACCTCAGCCTAGCACCTATACAGGTAGTCTTGAACACTGGACAGAGCTCTGGAAGCGACGCGCCCACAAAAATGTTCTTGGACATGGGTCTAAGTAGGTTTACCAGATTTGGCTGATTCTCAAAAAGCTAAGAGTTCAAAAAGCTGTAAATGCCCTTGTGACCACGGATTCACCTAGTACTACCTTGCTTTATTGAGTAGTTGATCTGAGCGACTATGCAAGGAAAGGGAGAGGGCTCCTCCAATTATCTTGGGTCTAAGTAGGTTTACCAGATCTGGCTGATTCTCAATGAGACATGTCCTATAATGGGACATGTCTTTCCATCATTGGCTGGTGGCAGGTGTTTATTGTTGACGCTGTTTTAGTTTCCGATTTACCTTACTGAAATGTATTCTGTAAAGAGTTGTAATAGGCAGGAAATAACCTTGTGAACACAGTTTCACCTTGTACTATGTTCCTGTATGGAGCGGTTGTCCTGTAACCACATCTTTGGACGAGGGAGAGGGCTCGTCCGAGATTTGAACCCGGGACCTCCCCACACCCGAAGCGAGAATCATACCTCTAGACCAACGAGCCACATGATGCAGAACTTCAAAGATGGTCCCATGTCCACGACAAGCTCAAAAAGAGATCAGACGAGCACCTATACAGGCAGTCTCGAAGGCTCGACCGAGCTCTAGAGCCCATGCCCATGCACTTATGTTGGACATGGGTCTAAGTAGGTTTACCAGATTTGGCTGATTGTTCAATGAGAGCTGTCCCTGTAATGGTCAAATCTTTCCATCATTGGCTGGTGGCTGGTGTTCATTTTTGACCCTGCTGTGGTTTTTCCATTACCTTTACTGAAATGTATTCTGCAAGAGTCCCAAAAAGGTGTGAAAGCCCTTGTGAACAGGAATTCACCTTGTACCACCTTGCTTTATTGAGTAGTAGATCTGAGCGACTATGCAAGGAATGAGAGAGGGCTCATCCGGGATTTGAACCCGGGACCTCACGCACCCAAAGCGAGAATCATACCCCTAGACCAACGAGCCAGAAGATGCAGTGTTTTAGAGATGGTCACATGTCCAAGGACAAGCTCAAAAAGAGCTCAGCCTAGCACCTATACAGGTAGTCTTGAAAACTGGACAGAGCTCTGGAAACGACGCCCACAAAATTTTCTTGGACATGGGTCTATGTAGGTTTTGCCAGATTTGGCTGATTCTCAAAAAGCTAAGAGTTATAAAAGTCGGAATTGCCCTTTTGAACAGTTTCACCTAGTACTACCTTGATTTATTGAGTAGTTGAACAGAGCGACTATGCAAGGTAAGGGAAAGGGCTCGTCCGGGATTTGAACCCGGGACCTCTCGCACCCTACGCGAGAATCATAGCCCCTAGACCAACGAGCCACACGATGCAGATCTTCAAAGATGGTCCCATGTCCACGACAACCTCAAAAAGAGCTCAGACGAGCACCTATACAGGCAGTCTCGAAGGTTCGACCGAGCTCTAGAGCCCATGCCCATACACTTCTGGTGGACTTGGGTCTAAGTAGGTTTACCAGATTTGGCTGATTGTCAATGAGAGCTGTCCTATAATGGTCAAATCTTTCCATAGACCAACGAGCCAGAAGATGCAGGCTTTTAGAGATGGTCACATGTCCAAGACAAGCTCAAAAAGAGCTCAGCCTAGCAGCTATACAAGGCAGTCTTGAACACTCGACATAGGTCTGGAAGCGACGCCCTCACAATTATCTTGGGTCTAAGTAGGTTTACCAGATTTGGCTGATTGTCAATGAGAGCTGTCCTATAACGGTCAAATCTTTCCATCATTGGCTGGTGGCAGGTATTTATTTTTTACCCTGTTTTGGTTTTCGATTAACCTTATTGAAATGTATTCTGTAAAGCAGGGGTTCTCAACCTTTTGGAAGCTGGGGCCCCCCAACACTGGTTCATTGCAGTTGGGGCCCTCCCTCCACTTTTCCGGCACCACCCCCACTACACCACCTTGCATAGATAGATAGATAGACAGATAGCCCTAGGCTAGGCTATTATTTTTAGGCCCACACTACTACTATTATTATTATTATTATTATTATTAGTAGTAGTAGTAGTAGTAGTAGTAGCGGTAAGTAGGCCTATTATCATTACTAGGCTATTGCTATAATTGGGAATTGGCACCAGACCTCTGATATGAATTTATGCTTTATTATTGTTATTATTAGTAGGCCTAATAGTAGGCATATCATCTGCATTTTTTACAGAAGCTTGCAGGTAGGCAATGTTTTTTTTAAAGTATATATTTTTTAGCTTTTATTGGCTTTATTATAGTGACAGCTGAAGACAGACAGGAAAGGGTGGCAGAGAGAGGGGATGACACGCAGCAAGGCCTCAGCCTCTATACATGGGTCGCTAGCTCCACCCACTGAGCTATCCGCGTGCCCAGGTAGGCGATGTTAATGTGAGACCTGAGTCTGCTTTGCCTTGCAAAGATCGTCAATTCTTGGCTCAATGTCTGATAAACATAGCCGCAAATCATTCTCTATTTGTGCACGATTGCGGTATTTCGTTTTGAGTGCAGTCATTTTTGAGAATCCTGCCTCACACAAATATGTCGACGTGAAAGGGAGGAGAATCTTAAAGGCGACGTCACAGATTTGAGGGTATTCCCGCATCAATGCTGCCCAGAATGACGAAAGAGGGCAGGAGGTAAAGAGTTCCTTCAGCCTACTGTCACTCTTCAGCTCAATAAGCTGTTCCTGCATATCGATTGACAGCTCGTTTGCTGTGCACACGAATGGATCTCGAACCCACGCAAAAGAGCGTTAATCCTCTTTAAAATATGTCGCAAATTGTTTTTTCATTTCTGACAGGTGCTCAGACGCTGATTGGAATAGAGAGGAGAAATCGTGTGACGTGCCTGCATCAGTGATAAAGTCTGCAAGGCTGGAACATGTCGCAATTCCCTCGACTGATGCGGCCATGCCAGAGGTCAAGTTTTTTTGTGAAGGCGTCCACTCTGTCTGACAGGAGCAAAATATTAGTTTTGCGGCCTTGCAAAGACAGGTTGAGGCCATTCAAGCGGTCATATATATCAACCAAATAGGACAGAGACGCAAGCCACATAGTGTCATCCAGATGCTTCGCCAGATCTGATTTGACTTCTGTCAAAAAACACTTCACCTCCTCTCGCAGCTCATACAACCGCTGTAACACCCGTCCCCCTGGAGAGCCAGCGAACTTCAGTGTGCAAAAGCAGCTGTTCGTGCCCTGACCCCCATCTCCTGGCAGAGGACCCCAAACAAGCGAGAGTTTAGCGGCCGTGATTTAATGAGATTTATCATTTTCACGGCTTGGTTCAGCACAGAGTCAAAGAAAACCGGCATTTTTTTAGCAGCTAGTGCTTCGCGATGGACCATGCAATGTGTCCATTTCACAAGTGGAGCTACTTGCTGAACGCGAGCAGCTAGACCGCGCTCACGGCCCGTCATTGCCGCGCCACCATCCGTGCATAGGCCAACGCATCGGTCCCAAGCCAAACCATTTTCACAGATAAAAATATCAAGGACATTGAAGATGGCTTCTCCTGTAGTGTGCGTCTGAAGAGGCCGGCAAAACAGGACATCCTCCTCAATCGCCTTGTCCCGCAGATACCTGACATAGGTGAGGAGCTGTGCCTGCCCAGCAATATCAGTGGATTCGTCCAGCTGCAGCGCGTAGTAAGGACTCTTTTTTATTAACTCTATCAGTTGCTCTCTGATATCATTAGACATGTCTGAAATTCTCCTAGCGACTGTGTCATTGGACAGTGGTACTGTACCGAGTTTGGCTGCTGCACTGTCTCCGATCATTATTCTGCACATGTCTTGCGCGGCCGGCAAAACGAGAGTCTCGGCAATTGTATGCGGTTTACCCAGTTTAGCTATTCTTTTGGCCACTACATATGATGCCTCCAAACACTGTTTAGACACAGTGCTGTGCACTGAAATGGTTGCCTGTTGCTGGTTACATGCCGCTATTCCGACATGCCGCTACTTAGACATTGACGTCTAGTGGTCGGAGTGGCGGCATTAATATTATTTCCAAGCGTCCCACTACTGCGACAATTTTTTTTCCCCATTGTCTGAGTAGCGGCACTTTACTTTTTTTCAAACGTCCTGCCATTCCGACATGAGGCCATTAATATTTGTCATTATCATTGTACTTTAAATTAATTAATTAATGTGATTATACCCATATGTTCTGGACTTAGCATACACGCAGCTTATGCATGGGTGTGGACAAATACATGGGAAAACAATTTCTAAAAAGAGCCAATCATCCAACTTCGAGGCTGCCCCTAGTTGGTAATATATAGGACTAGCCTATCCATATCAAATCCAAAAGCAACAATCTTCATAACAAAATCAGAGTATCCTTTTCAAAAAATATTATTTCGCCGTTCTTAAATTAGGCTTCCACAGCGCAAAAAAGGTAGGCCTACACCTTGAAACTTTGTTCAATCAACTTAAAGTCCGATTAAACTTCATTCAAAGGCAGTCCATAATTCTAATTAAATTGATTTCTAACGAACAAGTCCAAATTTCAGGTCCTAGAGCTTTATTCGTGCTTCTTCTTATATATTTTTAAGTAGACTGCTGGCCTGCACGCACAGAGTTTGTTTGATGCATGGAGTTTCAACCTTTTCCCCCTGAGAGCTGAATAAAAATGAGGAGAGCTCCCTGTCTTTTACATAATGTGTAGGCCTAACATTTATTCACATGGCCGCTTCAAAATCACCTAGTTTTTGACTGAAATGTGTGCTGATATCAATTATTGTGAAAAACATTGTTTGGAGTAGAGGTCTGCACTCGCGATGCAAATGGAAGCTCATTGCGGGTGCGGGCGGGATGATAGAGGTAGGCCTACATTTATTCTATATTAATAACTATTATTATTATTATTCTATTGCACTTTCTATGAAAAGTAGGCCTAATTGTCGTAATAGCGGTACCAAAAAAGATCGGATGCGGGCGGGATGATAGAGGTAGGCCTACATTTATTCTATATTAATAACTATTAATATTATTCTATTGCACTTTCTATGAAAAGTAGGCCTAATTGTCATATTAATAACTATTATTATTATTCTATTGCACTTTCTATGAAAAGTAGGCCTAATTGTCGTAATAGCGGTACCAAATTGTAGTAGGCCTAATTGTCGTAATAGCGGTACCAAATTGTCGTAATAGCGGTACCAAAAAAGATCGGATTAGGGGCATGTCTAAATAGAGGCATGTCGTAATGACGGGATGTCGTAATGGAGGGTTGTCGTAATAACGGGCTGTCGTAATAAAGGGCGGACCCCCCTGTTGCTGATGGAGGCCATCAAGCTTTCTTTTAAAATATTCAGCTGGTTTGTCCTTAATGCCAGCATGCTTTGTTTCGAGGTGCCTTTTTAATTTGCAGGGCTTCATGCTGTCGTTTGCCAGCACCTCCGCACACACGACACACTGAGGTCTCAGATCAGCCGTGACTGTAAACCCAAACTGCAGGTATGCTTCATCGTACCTTCAAAGCTTTTTTGCAGCTGGTGGTGCGTCGGTTGCCTTGTTGGTC